AAGTAAGCTGTTCATGGGAAACGGTTCCCGGTATGACATTTCAACTATTGTCGACTCCGATTTCCATCTTGATCGGCAGGCCTATTCAATCAACGGGCCTGTGCATCTCAGCACATTCTTTGCAATGACATATGGCCTTGGATTTGCAGCACTTGCTGCTACCATTGTGCATGTTCTCCTCTTTCATGGGAGGTAGCCACTTTGTTCACCATCATCTGATTTTATCATCAATTTGACATGTGTTTGTATGTTATTACTGTTAAATGTTAGCATAACCAAAACAGTGAAATTAAACCTAGATATTTTATCCCCCCCTCACTGCTCTATGAAGCTCCTGAATCATTCTGAACTTCTTATATTAAACACCTTAAACTTCAAGTTTGATTTTGTCCAGAAAATGTTATATGTTCCCTCTACAGAAACTTTTTCTGTGCTAAACTGAATTTCCATGTGCTTATATTATCAATTACTTTAATTCGTTATGTTTGAAGTGAAAATGTAAGTATAAATCAAGTATCACTTAATATGAAAGTCTGCACAGGCCCGTACCCTGTTCCAATTAATTTTCTTTTGTGAAATGTGCTATGTCTTTCGAAATTTCAATTTCTTTAACAATTATCATATGCGTCCTACGCAGGGAAATATGGAATCAAAGTAAAATGGCCTTTGGAAACAGTAAAAAAATAGACATACACACAAGACTCATGAGAAGATACAAATCAGTTCCAATGTGGTGGTTTTACATCATTCTAGTAGTGAACATCGCTCTTATTATATTTATTTGTGAGCACTACAAGGAATCACTCCAGTTGCCTTGGTGGGGTGTGTTGCTAGCTTGCGCAATTTCCATTTTCTTTACTCTTCCAATCGGAATAATAAATGCGACAACAAATCAGGTATCTCAACAATTCACTTACTGAGCTTGCTAATTTTACAATGGTGCTAAGGAGAATTTTCTAAGACCCCATCTCTTTGTTCTTAACAGCAACCCGGTTTAAACATCATAACAGAATACATAATTGGTTACATGTATCCAGAGCGCCCTGTGGCTAACATGTGCTTTAAGGTGTATGGCTACATCAGCATGACTCAAGCACTAACCTTTTTGCAAGACTTCAAACTTGGACACTATATGAAGATTCCTCCAAGAACAATGTTCATGGCACAGGTAAGCTGTGATTCCTCTATCATTTTAAATGTGAACCTTTAAGAGTTGATACACATGCTAGGAGTTAGTTCTTATTTGAAGAAACTAAATCTGGTTGCAAATTTCACTGTACGTAGGTTGTAGGAACAGTGTTATCAGTATTTATATACACAATAACAGCATGGTGGTTGATGAGAACGATCCCTAACCTTTGTGACACCAACATGTTGCCTCCTGATAGCCCTTGGACTTGCCCAATGGACAATGTGTTCTTTGATGCATCAGTTATATGGGGTCTTCTTGGACCACGAAGAATCTTTGGAGACCTTGGTGAATATTCCAAAGTGAATTTCTTCTTCCTTGGTGGAGCTATTGCTCCCTTTCTGGTTTGGCTTGCTCACAAGGCTTTTCCTGGGCAAAATTGGATAACTCTAATTCACATGCCCGTGTTGTTGAGTGCCACATCAATAATGCCCCCTGCAACAGCTGTCAACTTCACTAGTTGGATACTGCTTGCATTTCTCTCAGGGTTCGTTGTATATAGATATAGACAACAATGGTGGAAACGCTGCAATTATGTACTGTCTGGTGGTCTTGATGCTGGAACTGCCTTTATGACAATCTTACTGTTTCTTGCTTTGAACAACAACAACATTTCACTTAACTGGTGGGGAAATAATCTTGAAGGCTGCCCCTTGGCTACTTGTCCCACTGAGAAAGGCATTGTCGTTAAAGGTTGTCCCATTCACTGATTATTATTGTATGATAGTGCAAGCAATATACTCTGATAATAGCAGCCACCTTTCAACAAACTATTTTTTTTGGTTAAAATTTGTTAAAAACTACAAAGTTAGAGGTGGAAATCTTAGATTTTATTGTTTGGCTATCTTGAGTTGGTGGAAATCTTATACATGTGAAACTTATTTGTCAGGATAATTTGATGGAAACTAGAAAGTGAGAAGCCACTCACGTGGTCTTCCGAATTTAGTTTTCGAAAGTGCTAAAATGTTAACGGTTTAACCCACATGAAAGGATAATACTTTCCTATACGCACTAAAACCCTTAGCCCACATGAAAACTAGCAATAATTGTGGTTGATTAAATCGATTATTTACTACCCCTTGACCAAATAAACAGCTGAATAAAACAATGAATGGCACATCCGCTGAAAATTGCGACTAAATACTACTTCATTCGACAAAATGTGGTCAATCTTCATATCTCTGCGCTAGATATTTGGGTATACAATGAGACTTGGGTCGCATTATTGGTAATGTTAAGACACAAACCCTAATAACAAGGGTTGTTACATAAGAAATTATATAAATCGCAATTAAATTTCCATGTCATGTTAATCACTAACGTGGTAGTACACTAGCTATCTTTGATGACCTGTAATTTTCACTCCATATTGGCATCCACTTAAGTTGTTAGCAAGATCACTCGAGCTTCTTTGGCGAGTATGACA